GGGGGGGGGGGGGGGGGGGGGGGTGGAAACTCACATTCTGATTTTTTTAATATAAAAAAATATTTTCATTCCAGAGGTTGGAATCGACGTACATTTTTCAATTAAAAAATGTTCACGGGCACTCCCTCAACCCCCCCCCAACAAGATTTGATTCATTCGGTGTAGGGTTGAGGGGGAGGGGGGTTGGAAATCGTAAATTTTTAGATTTCTTTTGTGAAAAATTTTTTGTTCATTCCAGGGGTAGAAACCCTACCTACATTTTTCAACTAAAAAATGTCCAGGGGCAACCCCTCAACACTAAAGAATATTCGAATCATTGCGAGTAGGGAAAAGGGGTTATGGGGGTCGGAAACCCCATAGTTTTTTATTATTTTAGTGTAAAAAATTATTTTTATTCCAGGGGTTGGAACCAACCAACATTTTTCAACTGAAACATGTTCAGAAGCACCCCCTGCACCCCTCTACAAAATCCAACTCATTCGGAGTAGGGCAAAGGGTGGTGGGGGTAGAAACCCTAAATTTGTCTTTTTTTAGTGAAAAAAAATTATTTTCATTCCAAGGGTTAGAATCAACCAACATTTTTCAACTGAAAAATGTTCCGAGGCAACCCCTCCGCCCCTTAAAAAAATATCCGACTCATTCGGAGTAGGCTCGAGGGGTGTGGGGGGGGGGATGGAAATCGTAAATTTTAAGATTTTTTTTGTAAAAAAATTTTTTTCTTCATTCCAGGGGTACGAAACCTACCTACATTTTTCAACTAAAAAATGTCCACGGGCAACCCCTCAACCCCCTAAAGAATATTCGACTCATTGCGAGTAGGGAAAATGGGTGATGGGGGTCGGAAACCCCACAGTTTTTTATTATTTTAGTATAAAAAATTATTTTTATTCCAGGAGTTGGAACCTGCGGACATTTTTCAACTGAAAAATGTTCAGAGGCACCCCTCCGCCCCTCAAAAAAGATCCGACTCATTCGGAGTAGGGCAAAGAAGTGGTGGGGGTAGAAACCCTAAATTTGTATTATTTAGGGTTTCCACCTCCCATCGCCCCTTTACCCTGCTCCCAATGAGTCGAATATTTTTTGGGGGGTTTAGGGGGTGCCCCTGTACATTTTTTCAGTTGAAAAATATAAGTTGGTTCCAACCCCTGGAATGAAATATTTTTTTTTTACTAAAAAAATCTAAAAGTTTAGGGTTTCCACCCCCATCGCCCCTTTCGCCTACACCGAATGAGTCGAATCTTTTTGGGTGGGTTGAGGGGGTGCCCGTGGCATTTTTTATTTGGAAACTGTAGGTATATTTCAACCCCTGGAATGAATATAAATTTTTTTCCTAAAAAAAATCTAACAATGTGGGGTTTCCACCTCCCATTACCCCTTTGCTCTGCTCCGAAAAAGTCAAATATTTTTTGGGGGGTTGAGGGGGGTCCCCTTCTATCAGGGGGTGCCATCTCAACCCTTTTCATCCCCCCCTTCGCCCCCCAAATGACCATCTGACAACATTGAATCTCAAATGGTCGTTTCAGCACGGGAGGGAGTGAGACAGTCATAAAAATGACCATCTCACTCCCACTTATGCACTATATCATACGAGAAGCACCCGAGGGCTCAGACTCCTACATACGATTCTGAGGCCAATTCGCATCAACTCGGTTTGTCCCCGAGTTGATGGTGGCGCTATCTGCCAGATTTCAGTGGAGCTAAAATCTCCAGAAATTGACAGGTGATTACCTCAGTTGCGGGGATACTGATTACGTGCGAACAAAGACAAAAAAATTCAATATTGGGCCCAAACGAAAGGTCAGAATATTCGACGCGTCGGTAATTATGTCTCAAGTGTGTGTTGCTTCCGTACAAATTATAATAAGTGTTTGTTCTGGGCGCAGAATTCAGCCGCCATATTGTTTTGTTAATTGAAAAAATTAGTGAATTTCGGGGTACATTAAATGCTCATCATTACTTACTAATCATAATTATTTGCCCCCAAGACCTAATTACCGACATGTGACAGGATATTATCTTTCATTTGATCCCTAAATCATAATTTTTCATGCGTTTTTCCGCCCGCTATTAGTATCCCCGTAAACGAGTATAATGAGCATGGATTCTGGGGGATTCTGGAAAATCTAGAGATACAAATAAAAAAAAATTTTTGCATGCCGGGCCTTAAGGTTGAATAATACAATATCCTTTTAAATTAGATTTTTCTCGTTACAGAAATTCAAGCGCAGAATAAGTGGAAAGCTCTTGCAAAAAAAATTCAAAGGTGAACATTCCCGCGTTCAACTTCACCGATCGGGCGACGGTCTAGAGGACACTTACGTGTCGAATTGGCCCTACTACCAATCACTATCATTTTTAGCCAGCTTTGTACTTTCCAATCCATCAACTGGAAACTTGAACAGCGTTGTGATGTAAAGTCGTTGTTGATGTAAAACATAATAATAAGATAACCTCAAATGTTTAATGAAAGAAAAAAATTATTGTTTTTTACGTCAATTGGTTTATATTGCGCTATTACATTATTTGGGATAGTCAACAATGAATTCAGAGTTCATGAACCGAAAGTATAGTAATAGAACTCACGAACTCAACAATAGTCGTTCTACCAATGGAGAATACATCACGTTGTTTCCTGCGCTTAGAAAGAATCCTGGAAACTTTATTAAGTATATGAGAATGAGTGTCTTTACTTTTGATTATATTCTGTCAAAAATTAGTCCCTCGCTGATGAAGAAGTGGTGTAACTTACACGCTCAACCAATTATGCCGGAAGAAAGATTGGTTTTGACGCTCAGGTAATTTGTATTATGCTGATTTAAGCGTTTTATTTTGAAATAAAGTAAGTTTAAATTTTATATCATTTTATATGTATATTAATTACGGGTTTTAACTTTTCAGGTTTTTAGCGATAGGAAGTACGTATTCTGAATTGGCGTTTTCCTTCAAGATGGGAATCAAAACTGTTTCTGTGATCATATCTGAGACAATGAATGTCCTATGGTCGACACTGGCATCGTTATATATGCCAGTTCCTTCCATCAGTGACTTCATTAAAATATCTCAGGATTTTCAAAAGAAATGGAACTTCCCGCATTGCATAGGATCAATTGATGGACGTCACGTAGCTGTAAAAAAGCCACATAATTCTGGGAAACTGTATTATAACTATAAGAGGTACTATTCTATTGTTTTACAAGCTGTGGTCGACGCCAACTACAGATACGTCATTATAGATGTAGGAGGATTTGGCAGTCAACATGATTCGGCAACTTTCAAAGCTTCTCGGCTTTATAAAGCTTTAATACAAAAAAAAAATTCATATACCACAAGCTAGTAAAGTAGAAAATTCAAACCTATACCTGCCATATTTTTTCGTAGGAGATGGAGCGTACCCTATATCCGAGATTTTAATGAAGCCGTATCGTGGTATTCATCTATCACAAGCACAAAAAATATTCAACAAGCGATTGTCTAAAGCTCGTGTCGTTGTAGAAAATGCGTTTGCTCTAACTAGCCAGAAATGGCGTATTTATTACACTAATGTAGATAACAGTCCAAAAATCATAAATTTAATAATAAAAACTACATGTTTATTGCATAACGTCATCATCGATTTGGAGCACCAAAATAATGTTCACAATGTTAATGTAGAAATGTCAATCGATGATGATGATGCGCTTATAGAAGCTATAAAGGGTGAAGATATACGCAATGTACTCGCGATCCATTTGATAAATAACCTCTAAACGTTACGTTAAGTTGTTTCAAATCATCAGTAGCGATGCGCACCCTTAACTACTGTATTATTTGTATGTGAACGCTTTCTGAAGGTCCTCGAAAAACAAATTCTTATAATTTTATTAGAGAAATTTGGTTTATTGCTTAAATTAAATATTATAATATTATCATAATTTTACTTGTCACAGGAGCTCCACAATTTTGAAAACTTAAATTCTGGTTCTCTTTGTTTCATTGAAATTCACCCTTTTAAGCCACTCGTATACAAACATTAGAAAAAATTATTAATAAAAGTATTCTTAATGAACTTAATTCTCAATAACTGAAATTTAGTCTAGACCTTAAATTAAATATTACATAGAAAGAGTGATATAATTTGAAAAATTTAAATCTTATACCAAAGAAACACGGTATACAATATTACTAAAAATCACCCAGAGAAACTGCGTGGAACTTATTGCGAGTAGATTTCATCTGCTACTTCTTTTTCGGTGTAGGTGAAGTTCTTCAGGCTCTTCCCGGATTTAGCGAGCTTCTCCATCGTCTTGTTGAAGGCTCTTGATAACGAAAATTTTAGCACGAAACTATTAAACTGATTTATTATATTGATGCAGTATTTGAGTATCAGGGACCACCTTTTCACTTGTCACAGGAGCTCCCCAATTTTGAAGACTTGAATTGTGGTTCTCTTTGTTTCCTTGAAATTCAGCCTGAGAATCGTGAAGAAACAATCCTTTTGAGCCACTCATACAATTATTCGTGATGGGTCCTTCAGGGAAAGAAGCAGTCGGCTGAGTCATCTTTGCAGGACGTTCCAAAGTTGAACTTATGTCTTGGGTAAGCGCTAGGCTTGGTGGAATTTACCCTGATACACGTTCACAATTTACTGCAGTAGAGGGATTAACGTTAGATGCCGGCATTTGTCTTGGGACAAAGTCAGGGCCCACTGCAGAAAAGGCATGGGTTGATGGAATTTGCCTTGTTATCGATTCAGGGCTCACTATAGTAGACGGATGAGAGTTAGATGCAGGAATTGGCCTTGAAATTCCACCTTGACCGTACCACTCCTGATTTTCTATGGAATGAAGCTGGCGCTGTCTAGGGTATGGAAGTACCTGTTGCTCGTAAATATGGTCATTCCACTTCCATGCTGGACGAGGAGTATATGCATAGCGGTCGTAGCCAAGTCGCATCATTTCTGAAAATTACATTCAACTATTTATTATTGATATTAAGACTTGATCGTTTTTTTTGTTTAACATTCAGAAATACAATTAAGAAAAAAAGTAAATTATTTGAATATTATAAAATTGGTTAAGAATATTTACCGCTATTTCGCTGTTCGATTTCACGTTCTCTTGCAGTGGGCTTATACTTCTTTTCCATCTTAATAGATATATTGGGCTGAAAGTATGGCCGAGGTGGATACGAACTTACAATCTGGCAGTCTAAAAAAAGGGTATAATCGTATATACAATTTCAATTTTAATAATTCATCAATTATGTTACTGTTCGTACCATCATCTTCGTCCATTATTTATCTCTTCCTTTTTGGTGGTGCTGGAGTACTTGGTGCTACAGACCTTTCTTCAACTGTGCAGTCGTTGATTGATTTCCACGTAGCATTTTTGTAGGCATAATTAAATATTACCCGTGATACATCATTACGACAGAGCAGGATGTCCTCTTTACTGACTTCTCTTAGTGTTGACAGTAGTGTTTCAAAGAAAGCCATATTGTGTTTGTCCAGTTCTGCTGAACTGCTTACACCTGCATTGTTGGTCAAAGATTTCTCCAACAATGCGTATTTCTCGCTGTGCATACGCAGTATCTCCTCAGCAATGTCGCTTTGTTTTTTATTCATTTCTTGGCCGACTTCCTTACAGTCTAATTCCCCAATCTCAATGGTGGTTAGCGGCTTTACATCAGCCACGCTGTCCAAGTTTCCAGTTGATGGATTGGGAAGTATAGAGCTGGCTAAAAATGATAGCGATTGGTAGTAGGGCCAATTCGACACATAAGTGTTCTCTAGACCGTCGCCCGATCGGTGAAGTTGAACGCGGGAATGTTCACCTTTGAACTTTTTAACAAGAGCTTTTCACTTATTCTGCGCTTAAAATTCTGTAACGAGAAAAATCTAATCTAAAATGGTATTGTATTATTCAACCTTAAGTTACATTCATCCTAAAGGCCCGGTTGCCTGGAACAGCGCGGCTTCGACGAGTATCATTCGATTGCGTACATGAGAGTTCGATTGCAAACGGGCGGGTAAATCTCAACTACGAATGAGAAAGAACTTAAATTTCGGAAATTTGCGTTTTGACAAATATCCTTTTAAATAATCGCGACGACGAATTGTCATAAATGCTAATTTTTCTCGCGATTTCGTGCAAGCGATCGCTCTCTCATGAATTCCAGTTTACAGCCATTGTGCTGCCTTAGATCTTTTTTTGTAGCTGTACACGGCACCGCATTTTACTTTGTTTACCTCATTACAAAGAAAGATCTAACGTGCTGCCGTGAGAAATTAACAAAGGAGGAGCTACATTTTTTTCGAATTCAATGAGTTTCGATGTCGTAATAACGAAAGAGAATTTCCATAAACCACACTATTATAACCTCGTGACAATCGCGGTCGCGTGAGAGTGTAACGGTGAAAAAACAAAAGTATACTTACTCGATACACGGATATTAACTGCTACTTTATCCCACTCGGTGCCGACGAGACCCTTCAATCGATGCTCGTTCAGCGACTTGTTCCAGATAACTGGCCTACGTTGAACTTCTTCGATAAGTTGTGGCACTTTATTCTTGTCCATGTCCAACAACGCACTATCGCGAGTCTAATGAGAATTTGCCGGGAATCGTGTTTCAACCGGCACAGACAGTGCGGCATTGCCAAGTTTCGCCAGACTGCGTACGCACGAGCTCAGTCGTCAATCGGTCGGTAATGTAGGTAGGCTCTGAATATCGAGCTGACCGAGTATATATCGATCGAGCACAAGAGCTGCTCGTGCGCGACAGAAGTTGATCGGTGTACATCGAAAGAGCTCGGATTAGCACCGAATGATGCTCGAGCGGATCTCGGACGACGCTCGAGTGAATCTCGAACGATGCTTGAGCGGCCCTCGAACAATAACAGAGCGTGACGCAAACAGAAGTCGCGCTGCTCTAAAATTTCGAGGAACCGCCATAAAGGTTGTAATCACGGGGCGACTAATGTAGTAATGTGTGTGTAGTAATGTCTGATTTCATAGGTTTGTATTTGTGTGTATACGCGTATGTGTGCGAAGAGAAGAAAGTGAGAGAGAGGGAGAGAGAGAGAGGTTATATCTATCTCTTTTCCCTATTAAGTGAGCTGGTTCGATTTAAATAAATTACCGCTCGATTATTGCTTGGATGCTGGCACAACTGTCATGCGATTGTGTACAGGCGTTTAATAAATAAATTTGAATTGAACAAATCTATTTGAGGCGTATAAAGATTTTCTCAAATTTTAAGAAGAGTATCGATAAAACTGTTCGATGCCGAATCTGGTTTAAGTGGAATTAGTAAGCGATGGGCGAGATAAAAACGGATTTTCCGGGAGCGTGAGAAGGTCCAGAAATCACTACACGTGGCGTTGGTCACAAAAGTCAATTTAATTTGAAGTCAAAAAAATTATACGTGTGAGATTTAATTAATTGAGAAGGTCAAGAATATTAGCGCGGGTCACAAAATGATTAACACAGTTCAAAGAACTAAATGGCGCAGAGCAACTAATTCGCGCAACAATAGAAAAATTCGCAGAACGACATGTACACCGTACGATGGCCGATATGCAAATGAGGCCGATTGAAAGACCGCAAGGTGGCAGGTGTCGATAATCGTGGGTCCAAACGTGCCCCAATTTAAATGAGGGCATTCGCTGGACACCTGTCCATCAAGTGGCGCCTCAGGTGTCAGAGGTGAGAGGCCACTGGTCAGTTCAGTCGGTTGCGCAGGTCAGTCCTGAGAAGCCATGCAAGCATGCGAGAGGAGCGAGTGTGCGTGAGTGTGCGTGTGCGAAAAACAATTCCGTGGAAAACCGAACAAAAACTATGTATTAAAATACCGATCACATTTCAGTTATAGAAAAATATAATTGAAATATCGAATTCCCTCTGCATGCCTCATTGCGAGTAAACGTTAATCTGAATGTTCTCATTAATCAATAAGGCCCGTTTCGATTTATTTTCAAGTAATATCGATTCCATCTTCATCACTTAATTATATTTTAGCTTGTTATAAACGCAAAGATTTTTTTATCTATTACTCCTTGATTATCTCTGCATGCACGGTCAGACAGTTAATTCAAATTTTTCATGCTAATCATCTGCAATAGATCATATAATAGATATAAGAGCTCGCTAGAGTACAAAACAATGTGATAATTCTTGTAGTATCCTTTGTGTCTCTAGGAGTACAAAAAATGTGCACGTTTTCGACTATATTCAATATATTATAGATCTAAGGCCTCGTAAAAATTGTTTACGAAAACGGTCACACTTGGACTTTCGGAAAAGAGATCCGCTTCTTTTTTAAACTTTATGCAGGGTGTCCCATTTGAAACAATGCACCCAAATATCTTCTAAGGGGGGCAAGTGACAGGAAATTTTCAGGAATCTAAGTTGTAGGGTTCCGAGGAGGACATTTGATGTATGCATTTTTTTGAGCTTTCACGATCATACTTGCAAGCTGCAAGCATAAGGAGCTTTTTTTAAAATGGCAATCGCATTTTTTACCCCAATGAAACTTATTCTCCTTGATGAGTTGTTTTCAAATACCTCATCATTCATGTGAACTCGTTCAATTTTACTCGGAGAATGCGACGAAAATGAGTTCTGTTATCAAACTAAAGATTCAGACTTTTTTAGCGTGACCCAGGATGCACCACGTGGAGGTAAAGTCTGCTCGCATCCCTTGCGCTGAAAAAAAAGGAGGAAAAATAGCGCAAACATGTGTGGAAGTTCATGCGCTCATGAGTTCATGAGTTGTTCAATGTTCCCACCGTTAACTTGCAAGCACAACTCAATTCGGCGGCGGAAATTTCCAACAACCCTTCGAAGAACTTGGGGCGTAATACTTGCAATAGCCTCCCTGATACGTCTCTATAAGTCAACCGGAGTGGTCGGCCGATTCACGTAAACAGCTTCTTTGACGAAGCCCCACAGGTAGTAGTCAAGCGGCGTGAGATCCAGTGATCGTGGAGGCCATGAAATGTAAAGACCCCGACCCATCAAACGATTCGGGAGCGAATCATTCAGATGATCCCTCACAGTTCGAGCGAAATGAGGTGGAGCGCCATCCTGCTGAAACCACATTCTCTGTCTTATCTGCAAGTTCACGTTCTCCATCAGCGCTGGCAACTGATTACGCAAGAATTCCAGGTAGCTTTGTCCGGTGACATTACCATAAAAAAAGTATGGACCTATCACTTACTAATCGACGATACCGCTGATGATCAATGTGTTGAGTCCAGTGAGGATTTTCTCTTGACCAATAATGACAATTCTGTAGCAAAGCGGTAATCCGGTTTATGTCGATTTAGACTATTGGTCAGTTTTTAACGAATATCTCGGAATCTAAAGAAGATAGTTATGTTTGTGTAATAACCTTGTTTGAAACGCAACCCAACCTCTCCAAGACCAAGGTCGATCAGTTCGGCCAATTACGAAAATCATCGGTCTTTTCCGGGTCAACGCTCAGGTCTAGTAGAGTCACCGTAAATCAACGCGAGTCAGTATAAAACGATCGGCCATATAGTCTGTTTTAATTAGAGTTCAACTCCGTATTTGAGTAACGCGCAGAGTGTAGACACGTTCAGTACATTAACGTCTATTAGCTCGGCGATAGAAATTCAGCAAAGAGAAAATCACGTTATTTATTGGCCATTTAACCAGTGACTCAACAGTGCAAAAACTATAAACAATTAAAATTAATTCAGTACGATTAACTAGTGACAAGGTGTTTTGTAAATTTGACAAAGCATGGTTTGAACGCGAGAATAAATTAACGTTCATATTAGGTCAAGACTCTCAACAATTATTTCACACCGACGATCCTCTAATCTCCCAATCCACCCTAAATCTAGTTCCTCCCCAAACATTGGTCCTTCGAGCCGGATTTGGGAGTAATTAGTGTGATCGGATTCGGGTGAATTTAAAAAGACGCCTCGTGTAACGAACTTTCGGGGTCTACACGAGTCGGTCAACGGATAGAGTCTCAACGGACAAAGAGTATTTGTGCTATTATTTTCTCTTGGCGGTAATCCGAAGTGTAAACATCAGCGTCTCAAAGTGGTGAAAAGGTTCGTGAGAGTTCGGGATTTATGAGTACTGCCGAAGGACCTCAACGCTGGGCCAGTGCGCTCAGCAACAGGCGGCCTTCCAAGCGACGCCTTACCGACACAACGCAAACATCTACGGTCGGTAACGCTTCGACAGTACGACAACGGTTGGTAACGCATCGACAGTCGATACATCACCGACATCCGAAGCCACTCAACAAGGAATTCTCAGGCAAGTAGACTTTCAATTACATCATCATGTCTGATCCAGATACCGTAATTGAACAACAAGCCGTAGATAATCAACAAGATACTAGAGGCGCAGCGGCACAACCAACGAAGACAGAACCTCCACCATCAACAATTCCGAAAGTTGTAATCAGCGAGACTGAAGACGAAGCCAACATCCCGAGTACTCAACGAATTCAGCACATCAAGACGAGATACTCGGAGGTGATAGGGCTACCCGCTGCAGGTCTCACTATGCATCAAGAGATTCTACTGAGGCAGCTAAAGTTCAGAGTGGAGAGCATCACCCACATTTATGAGGAGCTCACCACCACGATCATGAATGACGAGGACGTCACCGTGGAAGAGCTGGATGGACAGAAAGAAATCCTTGAGACCTACTGGGCAGAGTTTCTCTCACAGCAGGGAGGCATAATCGAATATCCCCCTCACGATCATCCCTACTTGACTAAAGGAATCAGTCGAACAGACAGCTGCCACAAAGGAGCAAAGTATAAAGCTCATCAGTAAGCTGAAAGGTCGGCTGTCGAAGAAAACTCAACCCGCAAGCAATTCACCAGGCCAAGAACACCCAGACAAGCTCACACGTCTGGATTTGAAGGCTTTCGACGGCACCCCATCCCAGTGGAAGGAATTCAGAGATCTCTTCACCTCGCTGGTCGGTACCAAATCAACAATCGCACCAGTGGAGAAGTTGATTAGGCTCAAAAGCAGCCTCAGAGGACCTCCAGCTACTCTCATATCGACATTGTACATCAACGACCGGAATTATGAAAAGGCTTGGCAGAAGCTCAAGGCGGAATACGATGATCCAAGATTGGTGGCTCAGTACCTGTTCAATCGAATACTGCAGCTACCAAAAATCACCAAGGCAACTCAGGAGAAACTCAACCACAACACAGCAGCAGCAGTCGAGTCGCTAGACCAGCTACGAGAGGTAGTCGGTCTCTCAGATGCGAACTTGATTGAACAGATGATCGCCCACCTGCTGAGGAGATCATTAGATGCAGAAACCCTCAAGCAGTGGGAATTGAAACTGGGAGACTCCAGAGACTTTCCCAGTCTGAAGGAATTCGTCGGATTCGTCGAAGCCTGCGGCAGAGGAATCAACGCAGGATCAGAGCTTCATGCAACACAGGAAACCAACATCGCCGACAGGAAATCACCGAAGAAGAAGAAGAGCTCTTACGCAGCAGCTACTCAACAAGACAGCAACGCTGAGAGGCTTCTTCCGAGAAACTGTTGTGCCATGTGTAAGGAAAAACACTTCATCGCTGAGTGCCAGAAATTCAGGGAGTTGCCCCCAGTAAAGAGGAATAGCGTGGTCATAAGCAATGGCCTCTGCTTCAGCTGTCTGGGACCTCACCGAAAGACGAAGTGTTTCTCAACGAAAAGATGTCAACAATGTCAGGGCAACCACCACACTTTAATTCATGGAGGAAGCGAGTACACCAACGCTCCACCACGAACTCGACGTGACTTGGAATCAACAGATGTCCCTGCATCAGCAAAAGTCGATCCAGGGCAGAGTACAGACAAGATCACGAGTGAGTGAACGAATTATAGCATAATCAACAAAATAACCTCCTCATTGGTCATTCTCAACAGCTCAACCCAGTACATCAACGGCAACAGTCAACCTCAACAATCAGCGGACCAGTGAGAATGCAGAAACAACTCAACAAGAAGCAGATAAAAAATCAGTGCAGTTAGCAACAGCGCGAGTCAAAGTAAAATCCCCAAAAGGATTCATCAGCAGAGCCAGAGTACTAATTGATCAAGGATCCGAGGTGTCATTTATCTCTGAGAAATTCGTACATCAACTGCACCTCACAAGAACAACAGAAACGTTGGAATTAATAGGAATTGGCGGAGTCAATTCAGGCCACACAAGAGGAAGGGTGTCAGTGACGCTACAAGCAATCAACGGGCCCCAGCAAGTAAAACTCAACGCCCACGTCTTGAAGAAAATCACGGCAATCCTGCCATCATTCTCCTGTGAATCAGTCGACATCGGCTCACTAGAAAATCTTCAACTAGCTGATCAACAGTATCTCCAGTCTGGACCAATAGATATAATAATAGGGGCTGACAACTACGGGCAGATAATTAAAGATGAAGCTGTCAAGTCTAAACAGTCAAGATTAGTTGGCCAACGCACAGCATTTGGTTGGATATTATCAGGTCCAATCAACTGCTCCAGTTGCTCAACGAGGGTCTCCCTATCAGCTGTACGAGAATCTTCAAATGAACGACTACTACAGCTTCTACAAAGGTTTTGGGTCCAGGAAGAATTACCAGTCCAACGTTCAAACAACTCAGAGCTATCACCAGACGAGCTGGAGTGTGAAAAACACTTCAAATCAACACACAGCAGAGATTCAACAGGGCGTTACATTGTGAGGCTCCCATTGAAAACGTCAGCAGAAGCGCTCGGGGAGTCAAAGTTCAAGACTTCACGACAGCTCAAATCAACAGTCAGCAAACTCAACAACAATCAGGAATATGCCCAGCTCTACAAGGAGTTTATCAACGAGTACGAGGCTTTGGGACATATGCAGAGAGCACCCGATTCTCCAGAACCTACCCCAGCCTATTATCTGCCACACCACGGTGTTCTGAGAGAAGAGGTCATCACCACAAAGCTGAGAGTCGTTTTCAACGGCTCCAGTCCCAGCTCATCAGGTATGTCACTCAATGATATATTATATCCTGGTGGAAAATTGCAGATCAACGCCATGGACGTCTTGACATGGATGAGAAAGCACAGACTCGTGTTTGGCACCGACATCGTTAAGATGTTTAGACAGATACGAGTTCACAGGGACGATTGGGACCTCCAGAGAATTTTGTGGATTGATGATAATCAGCAACAAATCTCCTATCAGCTAACCACAGTCACCTACGGTCTCAACTGTTCTCCATGGCTATCTCTGAGAGTTCTTCAACAATTAGCGGAGGATGAGGGTCACCGCTTTCCAGCAGCCGTCGAGACAATCACCAGAGGTCGGTATGTTGGCAACATCTACGGCGGAGCTGAGTCAGCAGCAGAACTCAAGGAGATAGTCTGGCAACTACAAGGACTCTGTCAGGCTGGAGGCTTCGCTCTTCAGAAATGGAGCAGCGATTGCCCACGGCTATTGCACGAGCTCGGATTATCAACAGAGGAAGCCGTAATCCAGTTTGAAGAATCAGTTACCAAAGTTCTTGGAATGTGTTAGCATCAGTCGTCCGACATTCAGGTATAAATCCAGAGACTTCAACACACAGACGATCACCAAGAGGGTTGTATCTTCAGAGATAGCTCAGATCTTCGATCCTTTGGGCTTCATCGCTCCAGTCGTCGTAAAAGGGAAAATTCTCCTACAGGATTTCTGGAAACTCAAATGTAATTGGGATGACCCCCTCCCCACGGAGTACACTCAACGGTGGGAGTCATTTCGCCAGGAACTCACAGAATTGGACNACACTCAACGGTGGGAGTTATTTCGCCAGGAACTCACAGAATTGGACAAAGTTGCTGTACCCAGATGGCTCAATTTAACATCAAAAGAAAGTAACATTCAATTACACGGATTCGCAGATGCTTCAACCGTAGCTATGAGTGCAGTGGTGTACATACGCACCAGGAACATCAACGAGCCAGCTTCAACAGTGATGGTCTGCGCGAAGACAAAGGTAGCACCGATCAAGCGCATGACTATTCCAAGATTAGAGCTTACAGCAGCTCTCTTGTTAATACAACTAGTAGCCTCAACACAGAGTNACGGTGGGAGTTATTTCGCCAGGAACTCACAGAATTGGACAAAGTTGCTATACCCAGATGGCTCAATTTAACATCAAAAGAAAGTAACATTCAATTACACGGATTCGCAGATGCTTCAACCGTAGCTATGAGTGCAGTGGTGTACATACGCACCAGGAACATCAACGAGCCAGCTTCAACAGTGATGGTCTGCGCGAAGACAAAGGTAGCACCGATCAAGCGCATGACTATTCCAAGATTAGAGCTTACAGCAGCTCTCTTGTTAACACAACTAGTAGCCTCAACACAGAGTATGCTTCAGCTCGACCATGCAGAAACTCATCTTTGGTCGGATTCAGCAGTAACACTCGCTTGGATCAGAAGCCACGCATCAACGTGGAAAGATTTCGTCCACAACAGAGTGGTCAAGATTCAGGAAACTCTTCCGAATGCCATCTGGAGACACGTCAGTGGGAAAGAAAATCCAGCCGACTGCGCATCCAGAGGCATATCTCCAAGTCAGCTAGCAGATCATCAACTTTGGTGGTCAGGACCTGAGTGGATTAATCAGGATCCTGAAGAGTGGCCACAATCAATAATTGACGCTCCAGCAATGGACATCCCAGAAGTGGCCAAGGAAGCGAAACCAGCACGAGCACATCCAGTTGCACCAAAGGTCAACGAACTTGCTGAGCTACTCACCAGGTACAGCTCGATGGCTCGGCTTCTAGCAGTAACAGCGACTATCAACAGGGCAATCGACAGATTCAGGAGACTGCCGACGCCCCCGGGACCAGTCCTGTCAACAAGAGAACTCAACGAAGCGAGATTATTCTGGGTAAAAATAACACAAAATCAGTACTTTGTTTCAGCCCTTCGTGTGCTTCAGAGAAATCAAAAGCTACCACGAGGTCACCAATTAGCAAAGCTCACACCAACCCTAGACGAGTTGAACATCATGAGACTTGGGGGACGCCTGAAGAACTCAGACCTACACCCTGAAGAGACACACCCAATAATCTTGCCACGTCAGTCGAGATTCACCACACTGGTGATCGAAGAAGCTCATCGCAGAACCCTCCACGGAGGGACTCAACTCACGCTGGCCTACACCAGACAAAGGTACTGGATAATCGGTGGCAGGGGCACAGTCAGAGCGTACATTCTGCGCTGTGCTATCTGCACCAGACACCGAGGGAAGCAGGCTCAACAACAGATGGGTCAGCTGCCTGCAACCAGAGTATCACCATCCAGAGCATTTCTCCAGACCACGGAAGCTTTCCTAGGAGCCTACAAGAGATTCACCGGAAGACGGGGCATTCCAGCTGTCATGTACAGTGACAATGCCACCACGTTCACCAGCGCAGCAGAAGTTCTAGAAAGGCTCTATCACCAAGCTTCCAGAGAAAATCAACGAATTCAGGCTGCTCTCGCCACCAATGGGACACAATGGAGCTTCTCACCACCTAGAGCCCCTCATTTCGGTGGCAAATGGGAAGCAGCCGTGAAATCAACAAAATATCACCTCAAAAGAGTCCTGGGAAAGACAACACTAACGTTTGAGGAACTCAACACCATAGTGATCCAGATAGAGGCCTGTCTAAACTCCAGGCCAATCTGTCCGATGTCGGACGACCCAGAAGATCTCCAAGTGCTCACACCAGGACATTTTTTGATAGGTGAGCCTCTCCAAGTAATCCCAGAGTCTTCATACGTCAACGAGAACCCCAGCAAAATTCGACGATGGAACCTGGTGACGCAGATAATTCACCAGTTCTGGTCCAGGTGGTCCAAAGTGTGTCTTCAACGGTACCAGTCAATCTACAAGTGGAAGACACGTCAACAGAACATAGAGGTTGACAATATGGTGCTGATGATGGAAGACAGCTTTCCACCAACGCAGTGGCCAATTGCCAGAGTCATAGCAACGAAACCAGGAGCAGATGGGCTTACAAGGGTAGCCAAAGTGAGAATCACCAAGGTAGAAGTCGGCACGCATCCAGACGGGTCACCAAACCTCCAGAACATCAAAACGACCCACTCGGAGTTTGATCAACCAATCGCCACGCTCTGTCTGTTGCCAACAGACCCACCACCACCAGAACAACCTCCAGAAGAAGATCAACTAGAGGACGTAGAAGACCAACAGAACGACAACCAGTAATTCAACAACCCTGATGTTGAATGCCCCCGGGGTGTTTGAAACGCAACCCAACCTCTCCAAGACCAAGGTCGATCAGCTCGGCCAATTACGAAAATCATCGGTGTTTTCCGGGTCAACGCTCAGGTCTAGTAGAGTCACTGTAAATCAATGCGAGTCAGTATAAAACGATCGGCCATATAGTCCGTTTTGATTAGAGTTCAACTCCGTATTTGAGTAACGCGCAGAGTGTAGACACGTTCAGTACATTAACGTCTATTAGCTCGGCGATAGAAATTCAGTAAAGAGAAAATCACATTATTTATTGGCCATTTAACCAGTGACTCAACAGTGCAAAAACTATAAACAATTAAAATTAATTCAGTACGATCAACTAGTGACAAGGTGTTCTGTAAATTTGACAAAGCGTGGTTTGAGAGCGAGAATAAAGTAACGTTCATATTAGGTCAAGACTCTCAACAATTATTTCACAGCGACGATCCTCTAACCTCCCAATCCACCCTAAATCTAGTTCCTCACCAAACAAACCTTTTTTGTAGCTCTTAATTCGCTCTACAAAAAAGGTTATAATGACAATTTCGCTATTTCTCTTAGGTTCGGAGATATTCTTCGAAAACTCAGCGAAGAGCTGAGTCGACTTGACCCGGTTTACCGCTTCGCTACTGAATTGTGTCGATTCAACGAACCACTACTCTGGAACGTTGCCTCATCACTGAAAAGAACGTACTGGAAAAAATTCGGATCTTCATTCAGTCTTTGCAAGGCCCAGTTACAAAAGTCAACACGATTCCGTCTGTCTTGCGCGGACAATGCTTGAGTCAACGTTATGTGATACGGATGGTAGCGGCCAGATCGCAGAATTCTTTGTACTGTGCTCCGTGGTATACCTAAATCTCATTCAATTTCTCTCAAACTGATGTGTTGATTCATGTGAATCATAGCGAGAATGGCAACAGCTCGTGGATCATCAGGATTAATACCTTGTTGTTGTGGTTGTTGTCGTCGAAAAGTTCGTCCTCTCCTACAATTCCTTTCAATGTTCTGAATTACAGCATCTGTGGGATGACGTCGGCGATTAGGATACCGTTCTCGATATATCTGGGCAGCGGCTCGATAGACTCCGCGGCACTCTCCTAATACGAGTAAAATATCGACAATTTCACTCGCTGAATACATCGTGATGTGTTCAATGAAATTACAGGGGATACTAACTCGATTCTGATTGAATTGAAACTGTTTCGAATAGCAGAATCCTCGAGGTAATGGGGAATTGTTTGTTATTGTTTACATTCCATAACTACGGTTGGTAAATGGATTAGCAGAACAATTATCTACGCCAAGACGCGTCAAGGGTGTGTGAATCTTCAGTTTGATAACAGAACTCATTTTCGTCGCATTCTCCGAGTAAAATCGAAGGAGTTCACATGAATGATGAGGTATTTGAAAACTACTTATCAAGGAGAACAAGTTTCATTAGGGTAAAAAATGCGATTGCCATTTAAGAAAAAGCTCCTTGTGCTTGTAGCTTGCAAGTATGATGAACTCTACAACTTATGTCCCTGAAAATTTCCTGTCACTAGCCCCCCTTAGAAGATATTTCGGTGCATTGTTTCAAATAGGACACCCTAACAAAAGTATCGTAAACCTATCAGAATGGCTGACACCTCCTCCTTAACTGAGCTACTATTTCCAGTTTCCTTAACTCCACATCGTACAGCTCCATGTCAATAGTACAGTACTAAATACCTCACTTCTTTTTCTTTTTTATATCGACTCATGACACTTACTATACAAGCACCAATTAATTCCGACGTCATGGGATATAGGTTAAAACAAATTAATTTATCCGTACCGAGGAATGAATTAGATCATTTAATAATTTCAATTATTCGTGCAATGATATCAGCAGTGATGTAGTAAAAGGTCACAAGTCGATCATTCAAATCTCATTAAATATAGAATTATTTGAATATATGATTTTAGAAAAAACTATCAAAAGACCTTTTTCGTAGGTGTAGTCCATACGCCAGGGGCATTTCTGTGTCCATTGAGATTTCCAGAAGATTTGATTATTGGATTCTATGTTTTCGAGGTCGTTGATTGCAAATATGATAACGGATTGTGCGAAATTATGGGCAGCCTCTTTGTTTATAACAATTCAATTGTTTAAAGCGAATGATCGCAGAAATGGTTGACTATAGGGGAAAAAGTTTCAAACAAAAAATGTTCCTTATCAACAAGTGAACATATTTTGTTTTATAACTTTTCGCGGATGCAATTCCAGCAGGCGACGCGCTGGCACTATTGCGCGGCGTCAAAGCGCTTCGGAATATTTTTAAGAAAAATGGCTGAACGTAGAAAAAAATGGTTGCCATAAAAGATGTTCGTTACAAAAAGATACATCAGATCAGTTATTTGACTTTTGCAATTATTTCCAGTAGTTTTCGAGATATTCAATGTTTTAGGGCAATAGCGGGACAATTTCGCATTGCGTTGATCATTAAACCGTAATTATCTCGTTAACTACCAGGAATGGACCTAAATGTCTAATAACTCAAAAGATGCATCATAAAATTAACAACATTAATAGCTCCATTTCCTTTAGCTCCATTAATTCAGAAGATATCCTTGGATATTGAACGTGCAATGCACTCATACCTGACTGTCGCCAAGAATATCTTCTGAACTAATAGAGCTAAAGAAAAAAAGTTCAAATAAAAAATGTTGCTAATTTTATGATGCATTTTTTGAGTTTGTTTAAAACACAGCAATAGTTTCCTATCTAATGGCACCGGGCTCAACGAAAATTCTCGAACGACCTCGGGACCCTTCGGGTTCATAGTCAGATCACGAAGTAAATCACCCATCGAGTTCAGTATCGTATCGTCTCTATCCCTGTACAGTCGAGTATTGTCGCAATCGCTCTATTGAGTACATCACCGAGTACATCACCGTGAGATACTGTTCCGCTCCTAGTAGCGTCTCTATTCGAGTCAATCATCTATTAATTTCGAGTCAATTATCAATTATTTTGAGACTATAATCAAGTGAATTATCAAGAGAATTATCAAGTGCCGAGTAGAGACATTTATCGAATTTAAACTGAGACAAATAAACGAACAGTGTACCCTTATAAAATTTCTAGGCGCGTGGTTTGCGCCACAAATAAAGTACATCACCAGTGGGTTTTTAGTAAATCTCGTGTTCTTAATTTTCACATCTTTTCCAAATCACTTTTCCCCAACCCGCCTAAATTTTTAGCATCAATCTCAAACAAATGGTCCTTCGAGCCGGATTGGGGGCATAATTGCGTGAAAAGTATAAGTGAAAATTCTAGTTGCTAAGGGACGTCTCATGTATAATGGATTTTCGGGGTTTACACGAGCAAACCAACGGAAAGTTTGGAGACAATCAACAGTGCCTTTGTGTCCAGTGTTTATATCTCAAGTTCGGCTAACATGAACACTAGGGAGGTGTTGCCCTCCGATTTCGATGAAACTCATATATGTTGTAGAGGACTCAAAACGAAGCGACATGTATTTTTTTTTTATTGGCGGATACGCAGTTTTAAGGGGGGAAACCAAGGTCAGAAGGTGACCACTTTTGGGGGTGATTTTTCAATTCCACCTATAAGAAGAGAATTTTGTTAAATGTTCATTATGGGAATAAATAGCTCGTGAGGAATTATGAAAATCATAATTGATAGTTCCTGCGGGGGTTGAAATTTGGGGGGTAAACTACCCTTGTAAAGACTTCATTTTTCAAAAAAAAAAACTATGATTCAGAATTTTATGAAACTAACTGCGTTGGATGGAACATGGAAAAATGCGGAATACCTGTTTTTGGTTTTTCCCCAGAACTGGAGTTGTCTAGGGTGAAAAAAATAATTTCCCGGCAACATCATGCACCAAGGTGGTGGGGTTATTTATTCAATTTATCCAACTGATGAATAGCTGGGGAGGAATTATGGAAATCACAATCACTACTCACTCTGAGGTTTCAAATTTGGGGATTAACTACCCTCATGAAAATTGTGTCTTTCAGAAAAAAAAAAAATATTGTCCAAATTTACATAAAACCAATAGTATTCGAAAAAAACATGAAAGAATGCAGCTAGGGGCCGGATAGCCCAGTAGGAAGAGCACCCGATGCAAAAAAAATGCGGAAACTGGTTTTTTATTTTTTTTGCTCGAAACTGGAATTTTCAGAGGCGCAAGTGTGATTTTGTCGAAAACTATGAATTATTCAAAATATATATATGTATATATAGTTTATTAGGGAACATAATTAGTACAGAAATGATATTCATCNTGGAATTTTCAGAGGCGCAAGTTTGATTTTGTCGAAAACTATGAATTATTCAAAATATATATATGTATATATAGTTTATTAGGGAACATAATTAGTACAGAAATGATATTCATCAAAAAAATGGTGTATGCAGAGAGACTTTCTGCATCACAAGCATCCAACTACCGCAACATTAGAACAACCATCAACTTCACATTTTAGATTAGAAGGTTGTCCAAACGCAAAATCGACAGGATGTTCAAATTCCTCTGGTTTTTTAGCGATGTAACCACTCTGGAACCAAGCGTAACGAAATAGGTTTTGATACCTTGGTGATGATAATTGATTATGGACTAAAGATTGCAATTTGATCACATTATTCCGCGCATGCAAATTAATATCATGATTTAAGAGAACAACCGTATCTGAAAAATGACGGACGTAATTTTTCCAAATCCTGAAGCCGTACACATCAAGAGGTTGAATTTTTCCGGTAGTTCCTTTGGGGATTAACATAGTTAATAATTCTTTATTCCGAGTAGTTCCTTTGGGGATTAACATCGTTAATGATTCTTTATTCCTGTTCTATCACTTGAGAGCAATGTCCACTCCATGAATCGATTAACAGTAGACATTTTAGTCCCACGTTTGGAAAGAATACTTCTTCTAGCCAAATTTTAAAGTGCTCTGGAATAGTTGCAATGGGATGAACA